GGCATTTGAACACAGATCTCCTTGTGAGTGCAAATTCATACTCCTATTTTTAGATCATACTGTGGCATTTTGTTAGTGGACTAATGGAATGTCGAAGAGTTGCTTCAATGTTTGTTTTAAAGCAGCAAAACAGTATTGGAGCAGAAATTCTCATTCTCTTGATACTGCTAAAATATGATTGAAAGCCAAGATTTTAAAGATTCTTAAACTAGTTTGCCTAGAGCCCCTCCGCCCCAGGAGGGAATCCAAGCTGGTGCCTTTGCAGCAGGGCCAGTCCCTTGTGGGATGCTGCTGCAAATTGGAAACAACTATGTCAATAAAACGTACTAATATTCTGTACTGTTACTGAATTACATTCAGCTACTTAATTTATAAGAATTTTTTTTATGATTTAGTTCCTTCTGATTTTCATCAGGAACCATCTGTCAATTTACAGAGTCTTGATTAGCTGACAAGTACCATTTTTCAGAGTAGTAGCCGTGTTAGTCTGTATCCACAAAAAGAACAGGAGTACTTGTGGCACCTTAGAGACTAACAAATGTATTTGAGCATAAGCTTTCGTGGGCTACATCCTACTTCTTCGGATGCTTATGCTCAAATAAATTTGTTAGTCTCTAAGGTGCCAGAAGTACCATTTTGTTATATTTTGACCTCTGAAATAAATGAAGCTGGAAGATGTTTTCCACCTCTCCCTCCCACCTGACGTAAACCGGGGTGGGAACTAATCACTTCCATTTTTAGCTCCCAGCCTGTTACAAATTGCCTTCATATTTCTGCAAAATATGCTTTAGGTTGGCGAAGTTAGTGGAAGGAGAGATGCTTCTGTTAAAAGACTCTGTTAGCTTCAAGTCCTACATAGCCTTCTGGAAGCACTGGAACGAGGGATCCATTGTCATTACATGTGCTTCTTTTGAGAGCTCTTCTGTGTTCACTGTAGGGTGACCAGACAGCAAGTGTGAACAATCGGGACAGGGGGTGGGGGGTAATAGGAGCCCATATAAGGAAAAGACCCAAAAATCGGGACTGTCCCTATAAAATCAGGACATCTGGTCACCCTAGTTCACTGGGTCTGCAGGTGCCTGTGAAGCCTTCCCTGAGAGAAGCAAGTTGGTTTGAGTGGGTAGCGCATTGTATGCTGGCGTCCCTTCCAGCTAATGGAGATACGAATTCCAGGTGGTGATGAGGAATCGTGCTCAGACCAAATAGCAAGCAGAGCTGGAAACTGGATCACTGCTGAAGATTCTTGTTTCATAAGGAGAGAAGCAGATGACTCTGTTACAGGCAGCAGATCTCCCAGACTACAGGAGTAGGCAAAGGAGCAAATTAAACCTGAAGGTTGTATCAACAGGGATTCAGACACTTGCCATGCTCAAGAGGAAAATAGTTTCCTGACCAAAGAAATGATTGAGATAGTACTTCCCATACTCCTTAAAAAGAAGTTGTGTATGCCTTTGTGAATAGCTTTGTTTGATGTGCAAGTGCTGGAATTATTAATATTGATATGGGAAACCACCAAACACTAAGTTAACCATAAATTCCCTAAAAGCCAAATGATATTTATACAATTGCTCTAAACATGCCTAAAAGGCCTAACTAATAATGAATTTACTACATCGAAACAGTAACAAAACACTTTTTTTTTAGTATTTGATCAAACGGGCTAAACCCAGGGGTGCTTAGACTCGTATTGATCAGCTTCAGTATGGTCAGGCAGGTATTAGCAACGAACCCTTTTAGAATTTACTTTTTATACCCTCTAACAAGTGATGTCCTTGCCAGTGACTGACTTCAGCTAAAAACCAATCTGACACAGTTCACCCTTATTTCCAGTCTTAATCCAGATAAGATTTACAACCTCCTGTCTTCCCAAGGCCTTTCTCCCCCTCCTTCTTGCTGTCCAACAGTTTTCACATTACACCTGAGTTCACATAGGCTTCAACATTGGTGTGTGGGTTGGGAAAGGGCTGTGTGGGCTCATTTTAAGACCGATTCTCTTTAGTTAATTTAAAACTATCTGCAGTCACCCCTGTCGGGCACAGGCCTTCTTTTTAGAACCTTCCCCATCTCGTTAGTTATTCTTTAAAGCAAACATCCTCCCTACTTCATTCCTTCTGCCTTAGAACTTCTTATTTTCAGGGCCTTCTTTCTACTTGCTAGTCAGGGTCTTTCTTTATAACACATACATATTTCCTTAACCAAACTTAAGAGAATGTTAATTCTTTAATTTTATACTTATCCCACAATAAGTGAGTGTAATATGCATAAAGGCCATTGGATTGACAGGTCTTTAATTCAGGTCTTCTGTCCAAGAAGGAACACCGTGAAAGGATTCTTGTTTTGTTCCAGGTAGGAACCTGCAAAGATGAAAAGGTCAGTTTCTACCTGCATGTAGTATTTGGCTTCACTGCTGAGATTACCATTGAGTGCCAGTTGTGTCTGTGATGTTCATCTCTAATGTTGAATGGGCACTGGAGAGTAGCTGATAAAATACAGACAAGGCTACTGGTCAGCATTGAAACTGTATTGTAGTACTATTTTGTGGAATGTCTCCAGCATAGCAGAGGACCTAATGCTGTGCAACCCAGTGTTTTATTGCAGCTAATACTCATTTTTGTAGTAGACTCAGTAAAAATGGTTACTAGGATTCATTTGTATTATGACCAAACCCCTTAGCTTCACAAATAGAGTTTATAAGCTACACAGCTCCATAGATACAAGAAAAATCTAATGAAAATGTGGAAAAACAACTGTGTTGTCTGCCTACATTGGGATATGAGCACCTGTCCACACTAGGATAAAAGGTATTTTTAACCATAGTGTAGATGGGTCAAGTTGTATTTTAACATGTAATAGCTGGTCAAGGTGAGCCCTTGGCTCCTTCTTAGGCTACAATGCAACCAGCTAGTATATTTTTAAAATACAGCTTACCCTATTTACATTAGGATTTTAAAGTGTGTTAGCTAACCTGTTTTAAAAATACACCTTTTATGCTAGTGTAGACAGGCCCTGAGGGTTTTCCTAGAGTAGGACTTTTATCCTGGATAACCAGCTACTTCAGCTTCTAGCTATCTCTATTTCTACAGGTTCTCATATTGACGTCCATCTCCATACTGCTGGAGACAGGGTTTCTGTGTGTCTAAAAGAGATGTACATCAGCAGTCTTATCTTGCACAATTCCATAATGACACAGCTAAATTTATTCTTTTAATAGCAAAAACCAGTAGCTAGACGCCAAAAAATCAATGTGGATGCCATTTTAGGGTTGCAAATTTTAATAAGTCAGGATTGTCTTGGTGTGGTGTTTTTATTATGATTCTCACAGCAATGCTAACTTGCCCACGTTGCCAAAGTAGTATACAGTATTTATTATTTTAGGTATTCATGCATACCTTTAACTAACTTGAAAGAGCGTAGCCATTAAAGGAGGCGGAGGAGGGGTAGGATATTATAAGGCTGTCTGTTCCAGAACTTTACAGCATTTGCAACAATCTGCCATAAAGATGGTGTCCTGATTAATTAGACTTACAGTTTCTAGGTTATCTGAAATGTTCGTGCCTGTTCTAATAATGTCTGCATAAATGGCCTCTTCTGACACTGGTTTTCAGTTTAAAAAGAATTTAGTACAGTTTGGATTACTGCAGAAAGGATTTATTTTACTTGGGCTCACTGCAACAAGTGGCTGAAAAGGGAATATTTAAGTCTGTATCATACATGTCCTGAACATGTAGTTATTGTGTCCATTTGTTGGCAGAATTTGCATATCAGATAAACTACTTTGCTACGTGAACATTTCATATTTTAGTGCAAAAATCTTGCTGCATTAGGAGTAAAGAAAAGCCAAAATTCTAAACCAACAAACTTTTAGGAAGTCTTGGGCACTTAGCACTGAGCTGTCTTGGGACTTCCCTTTGTTTTAACTTTTAAAAGTCATACCAGATGTTCCCAGGAAGGCAACACACACACTCGCATCGGGCAAGTCGTGCAGCTGATTCCTGAGTCTGTCTAGGAGCAACAGATTGGTACAGTTTCCAAAATCTGACCTTTTCTTTCTGCCCACACATCTAAAAATGTATCTTGAGCACTCCACTTTCATCTTGACTACTGCAGCCACCTCCTCTGTGATGCACATCACCTTGTCCTGATCCCTTGAAAATGTTGCTGCTAAGATCATTTACTTTTTCCTGTTGCTCTGACCCCACAGCCTCCTCTCTTTGGAAGTCTTCATTGTTCCATCATATCAAGTTCAAGCTTCTTGCCCTCCCCTTCAGAGCCTCAGACAGCTCTGCCCCTTCCTACTTGTCCTGTCTTGTCTCTTACTTGACACCCACATAAATCTGGAACTCACTGCCACATGCATTCATTGCCACCAAAAATTTAGCAAAGCTAAAAAAAAAAAAAAAAATTGGTCATTTGTACGGGTAACAAGAATATTCAGAGTTATAATTAATGATAGGTTTAACATGCCTTTGAAAATTTCAACCATCTCCGTTAGAGATCAGAATGAGACTTAATAATGTGAAGGGCAGATTATCCCACACCTGCCTACCATGGGATTCTCATGCCATCTTCCAAAGCATCTGGTTCTGGCCAGTGTCAGACTAGTTGGACCCGAGATCTGATCTAGTATGGCAATTCCTATGTTCCATGCTCCCTGCTGTCTGTCCTGCAATTGATGCCAGCCTGTTTGTGGAACAAGCTCACAAAAAAGTAGAGCAGTCATCTGTGCTTTCTTTCATGCTGCCCCTTATACATGGAACATCCTCCTTGAATTAACCCTTAAGATATCTACCCTTTCTCTTCCAAATCCCTCTGCAAGACCCACACCTGATACCTGCAACAACTCTGCAGATGTTTGGTCATGCATCAGTGGGGACAGCTGATCTTTGTGTTTAAAAAACCACAAACAAAAAAGTACCTTCAGGTTGTTCTGTAGATAGTCATACAATCTAATTATTAATCTCTTCCCTTCTCTTCTTTTATTTTGTCTTGTCTCTAGTTAGACTGTAAACTGTTTGGGCCCAGGACAGTCTGTTACTCTGTGTATGTACAGCACCTTGCACAATAGACAATCGGATCCTGACTGGAGCCTCCAAGCTCTGCATCCATATAAACAAGACTCCCTCTTCTTGTTCCCCTACGGCATGTTTGAGTGTGATATCACTAACCTCCCTGGGGGAGAGGATACATCGTCAGTCCAACCCAGTGCCACCATTCAAGCTGTGTAATAAAACAATCTTGCAGTGCTCTAACTGAATGTAAAACTTAATTATATTTAACATAGGTTGTGAGTCTTTTTTTCAGTGGGGGACACGGGGGAAACCTGAGCTGAGGCCTTAAAGCATCCACTATTTTTGCTAAATATGTACACTAGTACATTTCCTTTTCATGCCTTCTCTTTCAGGATAGCTGTTTTGTGCAGTTCATGCTACAGCCGATGCAAATGGCTCAGCTGTAAGAAACAGCAGCTGCTTTTTTTATTATTTTCAGTGTAGCCTACTTTCTCTGGAGGGAAGCCAAGTGACATGTTTTCACAACACTACGTCAAGTAATGATCTATGCATCTCATACCTTTGCTTGATAGGCTCATTTTTCAGCAGTGCAGGGATCTTGAGCAGCTTTTTACCAGTGCTTGGTGTAGGTCTTCACCCCCCCACCCCCACCCCTCCCAATTCTTAAGATGTTGGAAGGGCTTTAAATATAAAAACCAGTATAAGTTGGGGGCGGGGGGTGAGTGAATGAGTGGGTTTGTGTGTAGTTTATTTTTAGATCTTTGAAAAGTAAAAACAAAACTCTTTTTGCTACTCTCCAGCCCTTGCCTCCACTTCCTGGAGCAGACACACAGCAGACAGCCTCTCAGCTAGAGCCGTGGTGAGACTGTCGTAACTAGGGGAACTTTCCTCCTGCCCCCCATCCAGCTCCAGCTGATGGTAGGGTTTGACTGGAGCTGGCTGCAGCATGCTTCCAGCTGCTCCCCTAATGTAACCATCTCTCTAACTCCATGCCCAGGGAGAGAAGTGACTTTTTCTCTCTGCCCACCTGGCTTGGGGAACCCCAGCAGGAATATGGGGAATGATTGGTTGTATCTGCCTCTAAACCACTACCATTCTCCCCTCCAAAGCAGGCTGGTCCCTAGAATGTGATGGTGCTGCCTACATGTCCTGGTTCTGCTTGCTCCTTTGTAAGCACCACCATGAGAGATGAGGAGGTAGGCTGCCCCTCCTCCCACTGCTCTGTGAGGTTGGAAATGGGGGTGTCCAGTGAAGAGGCAGACTCATCTAGCCATTCCCCCTCCCCCTCACTTTTGGGTGGGGGTGCCAGATGGGAAATGGTGAGGGCATATTGCTTTTTCCTGGGAGTGGATTGGGAGGTAGCTTCCCCCCGCCCCCCCTACACACACCACCCCCGCCCCACCCCGGCCTTCACAGCAAATCAGCAGCTGTGATCTGGCCTCCCAAAGCTGGACGAATGGGGATAGCTCCATCACTGTGACAGGTCTCAGCGAAGACACTACTTTACTTCCCAGTCTCACTAGCACAGTTACTTCAGCTGCCTCTAACCAGGAGGTAAAGACAGGGACTGTAGATTAACAAAGAAGATCTAGAAATAGAGTGCAGGAGTTTTGGGGCTTTTACCCTGCAAGCCCTACCAAAACTTTAACTATAGGGTTGAGAGATTGTGTCAACCTTTAATACTTGCCTTCATGTAGCACCTATCATCCTGAAGATCCGAAACTGCTTTACAAACCTATTTTGCATAATATACAACACATGAAATATTACACTATTGTGTGTGCATAACTATTATATATACACATGAGACAGAACACACACAGTGGTGTCACTCATGCCAATAAAGCCTTTATTCTGTGGCACCATTGATCATACATATTTGCATTGCATATATACTGTTATGCATGTGTATCGATATCCCACGTAGTGTGTATATACTAGAATGAGTCAGTACACAGGGCTTTTTGGACCTGATCATTCACGCATGAGTGAATTTTATATCATTAGTCCAGGCAAAAAATATTGCTCCTCCTGGAACTTGGATGTGTAAATTTGTGGAGGAAAGGAGGAATCATTTGTGTGGTTGATGGTTTTATAGCCTAAAAACCAAGCAAGCCACAGTCCTCTGGAAGCTATTCAGAGGGTTGGAATGTTATAAGCAATTATGGATTAGTAGGTAGAGTAAAGGTGAGGCAATCAAAGCTACATAACTGATGTATATCACATGGATGTCACTGACATACATGTATATAATTACTTCATCAGCACTATAATTCATCTGCTCCTATAGAGAAACAGAGCTAGTGTTAAATGGCCTAGTCCTGCAAATATTTATTCACATTAGTAACATTAATCTTATGGGCAATGGGACTTAGGTAAATAAAGTTACTTGTGTGTGTTTGCAAGTCAGGCCCTACCAATATTCAGACATACAACCTACAGTAGAACCTCAGAGTTGTGACCACCTCAGGAATGGAGGTTGTTTGTAACTCTGAAGTGTTCGTAACTCTGAACAAAATGGTATGGCTCTTCTTTCAAAAGCTTATAACTGAACATTGACTTAATACAGCTTTGAAACTTTACTGTGCAGAAAAAAATGCTACTTTTAACCATCTTAATTTAAACGAAACAAGCACAGAAAGTTTCCTTACCTTGTCAAATCTTTCCCTTTATTTTTTTGGTAGTTTACATTTGACACAGTTCTGTACTGCATTTGCTTTTTTTTTTGTCTCTCCTGCTGCCTGATTGCATACTTCTGTCTGTGATTGACTGGTCAGTTTGTAACTCTGGTGTTCCTAACTGAGGTTTTACTGTAGCAGTGTCAGACAGGAAGTGAAGCATACTGTATCTGATTGAAACTACAGGGGAAACTAAAGTCTGGCAGAAAGTAATTACCCAGTTCGGATGGGGCACAAGTACTAATGCCCCATATCTTGTAAAATGTATCGCCAAAAAAGCACCTTTTTTCTCCTTTTGTACAATAATGGTACAGTCTTATTTAGTAAGGCATTTCTTAGCTATAACATTGAACGTAGAACAGCTTAAACTGAAAACTTATATGATTGCCTAAAATGGTATGTGGCCCATCTGTGACTGCTAGTAACAAATATTCACAACAGCCAGAGATGGGACACTAGATGGGGAGGGCTCTGAGCTACTACAGCGAAATCTTTCTGAGGAGTCTGACTGATGGGTCTTGCTGACGTACTCAGGGTTCAACTGATCGCCAAATTTGAGGTTAGGAAGGCATTTTCCCCAGGTCAGATTAGCAGAGACCCTGAGTTGGGGGGGCAGGGGGTCGCCTTCCTCTGCAGTATAAGGCACGAGTCATTTGCTGGTTTAAACTAGACTAATTGGTGGATTCTCTGTAACTAGAAGTCTTTAAACTGTGATTTGAGGACTGCAGGAACCCAGCCAGAGGTTAGGGGTCTATTACAGGAGAGGGCAGGTGAGGTTCTCTGGCCTGCAATGAGTAGGAGGTCAGACTAACTAGATGATCACAATGGTCCCTTCTGGCCTTAAATTCTATGAGGTCTATATCAAAGCTGAAATGCACACAGTAGATAATTTTCATTAAAGTATACTCTGTTTACAGGAAAGTGTTTCCCTTGTTAATAGTCTTATCCTGGACTCTCCTGAGTGTGTTGTGCCCTACTAAACCCAGATGAAATGCAAGGGTTTTTTACCTGTGTGCACATGTTTATGCAAGAGAGAGCTATCGATCTAGCTAGCTAGCTAAAAAAATCCTCCCAGATATACATAATTGTGAATATGTACAAATAAAATGGTTGTAATAATTATAAAAATAGGCTGTCAAATGCAATGAAACACTATATATAGATTTAATATGTTCTTGTACATCAGGCTGCAATTTCTCCACCTGAGTCCAGTATCCTGTCTCTGATAAGCTGTGTCTACACTGCAGTTAGACACCCACAGCTGGCCTGTGCCACTTGACTCGGGTTCACAGGGCTCAGGCCAAGGGGCTTGTTAGTTGCAGTGTAGATGTTCGGGCTTGGGCTGCAGCCTGAGCTTGGAGACCCTTCCACCTCTCAGGGTCCTAGATCCTGGCTCCAGCCCAAGCCCAAATGTCTACACTGCAGTTAAACAGCCCCTTAGTTCAAGCCCAGAGAGCCCAAGTCAGCTGGCACAGGCCAGCCACAGCTTTTTAAGGGCAGCATTGACATGTCTATAGTGGCCAGTGGCACATTCTTCAGAGGAAGGTGCCATAAACTCTGCAATAGGCCGTTATGGGATAACCGGCGAGCAGAATTTTTTCCTAATCCTCATTAATTAGAGGTTGCATTTCATGTTTCTCTGATCCACCAGTGAGTGGTGTGCTCACTATATGTTGTAATGGTCTTTTTTGTATCCCATGTTTTGTTAACCACTTTTTAAAAATTAATTTGAGCCTAACTAAGTTCTGTTCCTGCTTTGGATCATTATATCACATCAGTCCTTCGTGTCTGTGTTCTTTCCTTCTTTGGTAGCTACAGTTGCCTCCACATTTGGTTTTCCACTAGTTTGGTTTCATTATATAAAAGCCTAATCTGATACAGGAAAGTACCAATCAGATAAGTAAATGGCTTAATTTGGCCATTCATGGTCTCTGTTTTCTGAACTGTTTTGTTAACTTGCTCCAAATACCTCACTTCCCCCGCCCCCACCCAGTCCCACATGTCTTGTTAAAATAACATTTTCTTTCTATTTTGCTTTACTCTGATTAGTCAGCGTTTGGATACAATCAGTGGGATGAGTTATATTTGGTTTTGGTTAATACACAAAAGGGTTACTCTGGTTTCTTCTTGTGTAATCCCTGTGTTTGAGAGTCCCTTCACGAATGTCAATTTCTCCATTTTTTTGTTTTGCACTGGTGTAGCTACACTGGATTAACTATACCAGTGCAAACCTTTCTGCACCCAAGTCATGGTTTACACACATGCATTGTATCTACATTAGTGATTTGCAGTGGAGCAGCTACCCCAATGCAAAAAGAAGAGGTGCTAGGGCAAATTGATGATTTAAAATGTAATACATCACCAGGCCCGGATTATATATAACCAAGAGTTCTGAAGGAGATTAAATATGAAGCTGTTCAGCAGCTTAAAAAAAAGAGTAACATATTATTAAAAACAGCCACTATATTCCAAAGGATTGGAGATAGCAAAAAGGCCATAAGGGTGATCCAAGTGCTTACAGACCAGTAAGTCTCTCAGATGTACCTTGTAAATGGATTAAAACTATAATTAAAATAAAATAACAAAATATCTGGAAGAATGATATGATAGTCTAAGCAGCAAATCATGTCTCGCTAATCTCTTGGAATTCTTTGAACATGTCAATAGAATGGTTGATGAAGTAAAACCAGTTGACCTAATTTATTCAAATTAAACAAGGGAACCCAGGCAGACCCACCATATCTGATGACAGCACTCTTACTGAAGGACCATGGGAACTCACTGAAACCATCCTCAAACTCACTCACCACACAAGGGGCCAGCTTCCTTCAGGACACAACTGACTTCCTCCAGAAACTCCACAACATTAACAATCTCCTTCAAAACACCATATTTGCCACCATGAATGTCACTCCCTCTACACCAACATCCCCTCACAATGATGGCATCGCTGCCTGCCTCAAATATTTACAAGATAAAACAACATTCAGCGATCCACCCCAAACACATCGGCAAACTCATCCTTTTAATCCTCACCCATGCCAATTTTACATTCAACAACACTTAGCCCAAACCATGGGAACAGCCATGGGTACTAGGATGGCTCCCCAATATGCCAGCCTCTTTGTGGGCCACTTCGAGGAAGAATTTCTGGACAAATGCACCACAAAACTAATGATATACCTGAGATACATTGATATTTTCATCCCCTGGACAGGAGACCTAATCTCCCTCATAAATTTCCTTCAAAACCACCACCTGTCCATCAGACTCTCTCTAGAGCACTCTCACATTAGCAACAGCTTCCTGGAAACCACGGTCAGCTTCAGCCAGGGAACCCTATAGACAACTATATAGAAGAAACCTACTGATCACCACATTTACCTTAACAGATATAATAACTACCCCAAACACAACAAGAAATCTGTAATCTACAGCCAGGCACTCATTCCACAGAATATCCTCCAAGGAGAAAGTCCAGGATACACACCCTTAACATGTTTAAAACCACCTTTAACAAACAAGGACACTCCACCTGAGAAGTAGATCACATCCTGCAACGGGCCACCAAATACCCCGACAACCTGCTTCACCACAGCCTGTTGTTGTCACATCCCACCCCACACTGGAAACTGTATGGGGTATCATTAAACAAGTGCAACCCATACTCAATGGGAACCATATCCTGAAAGAAATCTTTCCTGAACCCCCTTT